GAGGAGGGTTGGTCTCGGCTTTTTGCCAGCCACAAAGAGAACCATGATCTCATTTGTAGGGAGATCCTTTTAATTCGACCAAATCATTTGGGTCCTAGAAACCAATATTTAATATAGTATAATAGCACTTCTGATTCCTTTTTCAGGCATGCACCTGCTCCAAATTTCTTCACAGGAACTTCGATGGCAGGATTTCTCGTGGTCCAATCCATCCCCTCTTGGCTTGGTCCGATGCATCTGTGAATCCCGCTTGGGGGTGGACTGGTCGATGCGTTTTTTCGACGGGAGCACGGCTCGGTGTCCTATGGCTGGCATGGCTCAGGATCTGGCACAAATTTCGTGAGTGTGAACGGAGTCTTGAGCCTGAGGACAAGCAAATGGCCGTCGTGCGGGGTTGAAAGCAAGCTGAAGCAAGGAATTTGCCCCGCCCTAAAACAGGCCAGACTCTCATCTCAGAATCAAGGAATTGCTTGGGTGGCGTCATGCAAACTCCAGCCTGAGGGTATCGCCAACGGGGTTTGGTTTTAAGAAGGCGTTAAACATTTGTCATATTTGAGTCTTGAGAGTTCATTAGCCCGGGTCGAAATGCCACAATGCTGGCACATTCCAAACGTGTCGAAATAGACCTGCACATACCAAACCTCTTCTTTACTCCAACCTGATCCTACCAAAAAAGAAGAACATTCAGTTAGATCTATCCACTAGGGTTATAAAAAACTTTCATATGGTAAGGCCAGAATCCTTGATTTAAAAAAAAAGTCAAAAAAAATCAAAAAAAAGTCAACTGGAAAAGTCAAAGTCAAAAAAAAGTCAAATTGAAAAGTCAAAAAAAAGTCAAAAAAAACAAAAAAAAAGTCAAAAAAAAGAAGCAAAAATAAAAAAAGAAACAAAAATGTCCAGTCAAGCGACTCAGGAGCAAAAGAAAGTCGGCATATATATATATATATGGAAACACAGGCAAAGAGGACAACAACATTGAACTAAACTAGTAACAAGCTCATAAGTCAGCCAAGGCAAGTTGCAGCCTTTTTGCTTATGGCTTATGGCTTTCAGTCTATTAAAAATTCTAGAACCTTTTTGGTTGTTCAACTTTCACCTTTTCCAGCCCCAACCCCCTACCCCAGAGTCGCAGGACCCCTACCCAGCCCCAGCCACTGTCCCAGGGTCTCTTCAGCCCCAAGCCAGCCCTGTCCCTGGTGGCCCTGGTAGCCACCCCAGAGTCCCAAGTACCCAGCCCTGTCCGGCCCCAGAGTCGCGAGCAGAATTGACTTTTTTTCGAATTTTTTTTTACTTTTTTTTGACTTTTTGTTGCCTCCAGTAATCCGCCAAGGCTAGGATCCGCGCTTGGTTTTCACATTTGACTTTTTTTTGACTTTTTTTT